CTGTCCAGAGAGGACAGGCTCAGTGACCACAGCCTGACCACAGACACTGGACACAGACAGACCTGGTTGCTCAGAGAGGACAGACTGTGCTCCCACTGCCAGCCTTTCGATGAATAAAATGACATCATCGCTGTAAATGTTTACTATTGGTGATTGCTCTGGCAGCACTGTAATTTATCAGGCAATTCATCTCTAATGATCTGAGAGGAAGAGAGAGGGAGACAGGGGCAGTGGAGTATGAGTGGACATGAGTGGACATGTGTGATGTCTGTGGCTGCTGTCTCACACTGCACGGGGTGAATGATACCTCTCCCAGACCCCCCCCCACACGCTTGTGGAAAGGAATTCCCTGGAGTTCCCACCTGTGGTTGGTGTAATGTGACCTTTATGGGGATGAGGGTTCGAGCTGTGCTACAGAGCAGTATGTCTGTCCATTTGTGATCCACTAATTCCTAGTAGAGGGTCTCGGCGGAGAGAGAGAGAGACAGAGCCGATCCAGGAAATCACTGAGTAAAAGGACACACACATACCACACGCACACAGGAAGACACGATTAAACCAGAGCACCTGCAGGAAAGCAATGTGATCAACATGCGACATGCGCTCAGCGGCAGAGGACAGCGCGGCAGCACTCTGGCGCCCCCTCGTGGTCCCCCGCGAGTATGACACGCTGACGACTCGCACAGCAACACACGGGGACAGCTCGTCTTCTGCAATTCTTTATTAGAGAGACTTCTTTAAATTAAAAAGGGAGAAAATTACAATAAATAACAAATAAATTAATTGATTACAAAGTCTGGAATGTACAGACCGGCAAATAGCTCATCTAAAAATCTCTAAAATCATGAAATATCAGAGGCTCGTAAAATAAATACATTTAAAAAAAAAAGAAAAACCCTTCTGTGATTTAACCCCTCCCGAAACGATGTGTAGATCTTTATTTTTTTAATTCGTCCCCCTCCCCGTTTTCCTCATAGCTAATTTTTTTGATTTTTTTAAATATTATTGTTTTTTTTTCCCAGGTTTTTCAAATGCTTTTCAAACGAAATTATGTACATTTCCGAGAGAGAGAGAGAGAGTGGTCTTCCCCGGCGGCTGCGCGTGTCCGTCTCGAACCGGGGACGTGAGTTCTGATTGACAGGTCAGAGGTCAGGCCGAGGTTCCTATTTCTTTCATCATTCGGCTTTTTAAGACTGTTTCCTTCTGGGGGGGTTTTCTCCCCCCAGATCCTTTCCCCATTCCCTGCCTCATTCCCGGTGGAGGCCAGGGGATCGGGATTCCAGGGAATCGGCAGGCCATCAGCTTGAGCAGCTGGGTGGGTGTGGGGGTGTGGGGAACAGGGAACCCCCATAATCTCCGGGGTGAACTCGGGTCACGTGGTCCCATTGGGAAGGGCCCAGTGTCCCCTCCTGGGTCTCGGGGTTCTGGTTCCAGCTGAGCTCCTTCGCTTCAGACCTTAACGGGCCTCTGAGCTGACTGGACTGGACGTCTCTTGTAGGGGTTTGCGTTCGGACCCTGTTCAGGACTGTTAGCAGAGGGAAAGGGCTGGAGTGGCACAGCCACAGCAGGCACTGCGGCCCAGGGGTCTGAGAGGACACACCCCCGCGGACCAGGGCACTCTCAGGTCAACACCACGCAGTGGCGCCCCCCTGTGGTTGACCAGGGTGTCCTCAGCTCACCACAGGCTGTGTGTGTGTGTGCTGTCAGTGAGCGCTGCGCCAGTCCTCTGCTCTGCTGTGGGGCGGCAGTGTGGAGCTGTTATCTCGACGGCGTGGGTGTCAGAGGAGGAGAACAGCGCCCCCCTGTGTCTGCCCAGGGCTCCTGAAGTCTGTGTGTGTGCTGTCAGTGAGAGTTGTCAGTCCTCAGCTCTGCTGTGGGGCTGCAGTGTGGAAGAGGAGCTGTTATCTCAACAGTGCAGGT